AAACAGTAAGAGAATTTTTAATTTTTTGACCAACATTTTTAAAGGTCACAAAACAAAAGTAATTTTCCCCACTAATCCTAATAATCATTAAGATCACTTTGCCTCGTTTCAGCTTGCAGGGTCATTGTCACAGTGCCACACAACCGTGACAAGCAAGGACTGTTTTGTATTTATTAAAAAAGACAATGCAATTTTCATGTTCCTGGGTCATCAAAAAATCCTCAGATATTTAGACCTGAAACTAAATTTAAGAAAGCTATATTTTTCAATACATAACTGCCATGAAATATTTTAAGTGATTTTGTTAAATTATTTAAAATTTTAAATAGAATATTTCAAATGGAAAATATATTTCACTTAGCTATTTGCTGGATACATGCGCATTTTACTTTTAATTTACCACCTTGCAAAAGCACAAACTGGATGAAAACAAGAATGTTGCAAAAACCTCCTGTCATAAATGCCGCCTATGGCCACATTCTGTTATCCCTATACGCTTTAGCAAGATCCGCCCAAAGTAAAATCCCAAGTCCACAGAAGATTAGTCAGACCTTACTAGTAGGCGTATTATTTCCTGTGTAAGCAGCAGAGGAACTGAAGAACTACCCATGACAACGAAGAATAACAATACAAGACGGTTCTGAGCTTCCACTGCGCTGTATTTAGCATCCCCGTGTCCTCGTTTCTGGTGGCTTCACTCTCAATACGACTTCTACTCTGTCCCTCAGAGAAAACTCTACCTGCTACAAGTCAACTCAGGAAGGAGGTCAGGAATAAATTCCAAGTAAAATACATAAAATTACGATCCAGAAGATTGTGGGAATTCCACTACTGCACTAGTAAATACGTTCTGGGTGTATATATCGATGTATGTACTGTGGCTCATCCTCGTATATGTGCTAACATAGTAGAGAAACAGGCCAAAAATAGGCCTCAAAACCTGTCATTAAGATATTAAAATTACTTTCTCAACAGCATTAGAAGCAAAGCTAAAAACAAACAGGTATTATAATCTTTGTACAAAATTTTGCATAAAAACCACAGACACCTTCTCGCCCTTTTGCCTTTCCTCTCCTTGGCTGTGTCCGAATCCACGATGTCTGCCCGGAGGCAGTCCAAAGTCCCCGAAAACGACAGGTGCTCTCCAAAGTACATCCGGTAGCACAGCGGCATCGTGTCCTGAGACTGGATCCCCGTGTGACTCAGGAGAGGTTTGAAAACCACCTAAAAGGCACGACACGTTCGTGTTAGCTCGGTTCATAATTCATCCTTTACTGTGGCTTTTCTCCTTATCCTACCTCAGTACGTATTATTGTAGTGTGAAACAAACAAACAAAAGATCTTATACCATAAATATAGCTCTAATTTTACTTAAAATGAAACAGTACTTTTGAGCACCTATCATCTTCGAATTGATCATAAGAGCAAAGATTCCTCGATCCTGCCTGAGTGTCTGAAAATACCAGAAAAGTAAATTATGGATTAGTTTAAATCATTCTGCTTCTTGCTTTTAAAAAAGGCATGAACACCTACATTTCCATAAAAACCTGGTATATTAGGTTTTTGTCAATGTCCTGTGTTAATGGAAAAATGTGTCATATATTATGAACAAACACCTGACCAATTTTTAAATAGTACTACTTAGTCATAATGATCATTTGATATTTATTTTCTGACAAAGAAATTCCTTTACATTTTAAGTATCACATATGCTTACACAAACACATCACCCGGTTAGATCTCCAGGGAGCTGAACTCTGTGGTCACTAAGAGCTAACCAAACAGAACTGCACGTGTTGGATGAACCGCCGCACTCGCTGGCTCATGACCCTCTTCCCTCTCTGGCACACGGGCGTCATCCCAGGCCTTCCTCGGCCCCTTCTAACTCTTTCACCGTACGTTTCCTCTCAGTGACCTTTTCCCGAAGCTTAAAACATCCTGTTGAAACGGACACAAGCCGCCTATGCAATGAGACCCAAGCCCCGTTTCCAGGTGCCCGCAGGCCACCTCCTTACTTTGTGCTCGGGCAGAGGCCACTCGAGTGGATGCCAGAGGGCCCGGAATGAGAGGATTCAAACGCCTTCCCTCTGGACTGAGACCTCAGGAGGACCTTCCTCTCCCTCGTGTACCTGCCTGGCATACCGTCCTGGTTTGCTCTTTCATCCTATGGAAAAACGCTTCCGTCTTCAGGTTCGAACCACCCTCCACTTAAGCCCCTGGAGTCCCTTCCACACCGACCAGGGGCTTTGGCTCCCTCCTTCTGCCACCCCAGGGGGTCATCCTGGATGGCTTCTTTGGCCATGCAGATAACCCAACCAACACTTCAGTTACGACGCTCCGTGACTTCTTCCCCCCATAACCCTGGCTTAAACTGCATCTCAGCGACGTCCTGGACTGCATGTTACATCTCAACACCTCATTTTTGTTGCTACATCTGCTTCGGCTCACCCCTCTTCCACTCCTGTAGGGCATGAGAGGAAATGATGTGATCGCATTCGTTGCTGCTCCAACACTAACCCCCGGCTTGTTCCTGGACCCTCGGCCCTGCCTGGCATTCCCTCCGGGGGTCCGCAGGAAGCTATCATGTCACACCACCCTTTACACATATGTAAAGCACCTTCCGCGGTTTTTTTACTGTATTACTTAATATTCACATTTCTGGTAGATTTTAGAGTCTTGTATGTAAAACAGTATAGTTGTTTAATATGTGTACTGGATGCCAATAAATACAATGAATGTATTATATAGGACAAAACAAAAAAATTATTTTTTTTTCCACTCTACCTTTGAAAAGAAGTAAACGCGTCCTTAAAAACGACTCCAGTGTGCTGGAGACGTAAATCAGAAACCTTGAGAGTGCCTGACACATTGCTTAGCGGAAATTAGCTCCCACTGTGAGAAACCCAAAGCCTCCGGTTCGCAGAGGGGCCTGAGAGCTGCGCCCCGCCCTTCATTCCCACTCCCCCACTTGCCTGTGGTCACCCTAAAACACACGCTTCAGAGATTTGCCTTCGCACTCCCCATGTCCGACCCGATTGCAAGCCCTCCGTAACGGCGCTCTGTCATCACGGCGAAGCCTCGGCCGAGGGCCTCGTGTGTGAACTGCTTCAATAACTCGTCTTTCACGTCTGGTTTCTCTGCTTTAACCGATTTAGCACGTTGCTCACCGTATGTTCCTACCTGTACAGTTCTAGTCAATTGATCCCTCTGCTCTAAAACCTTAGGTGCCTCCCACTGCCCCCCCGGCCATGTCGTCCTGGCTCGTGCTGTGCTGAGAGTTGTCAACACAGCACTAAAGACTATGGCATACAGTTAGATTTTTCTAGTCATGTCATTCAGCCAACCTGTTCCTTCAAATAACGAGAACGTTACCACATGAGGCGAACGACTATGTGTCACTCTTCTGCTGAGCATCTACAGATGCTGAATTCGCATTTATGATGAGCCCATGTACTTTCCGAAGGCTCCTTTGTCACACGAAGGCTTCAGGCAGATGGCACGGGACGCAACCAACGGCCCCTGAGCGGGGGCACGACAACTGGGGAGCACAGGGCCACCCACCTGCGCGTCGGCCAGCTGAACGGCAGGGAAGCCCTGGTTGGCCTCTTCCACGCCGGCCACGTCGTCCTGGCTCGTGCTGTGCTGAGAGTGCGTCCCAGCCAGGGTGTTCTGGTCGCTGGACAGGACGGTGTTGAAATCTGAGGCCGACGGTATTGTGGGAAGGTTGGGTGCGACACCTAATGAACGAACGTTCGAGAATGAAATCGAAATTATTGTAAACTTAGGAAGCCTGTCGGTGGTAGCAGTATTATCAGACCATTTACATTGGGGAAAAAAAAACCTGTTAGCATTTTAGGTAATTTTACAGACATAATTAATGAAAAGTGACATTAAACTAAGCGTTCAGAAACATCAGTCAGCCTCAGACATGAAGTCTGTACTTTACACAGCGAAAACCTCGGCCATCGGCTTTGCGCTGAGGCACAAGGCACAGAGCCGCAGAGGTCAGCAGGGCGACAAAGCAGCCTCACAGCGACGCCCGCCCCGCCGAGCGCTCCCCAGGCAGACGCGAGCGAACCGGCGGTTTCTCTCCTCTGCTCACTTTCCCCGGGAGCCCCCCAGGCAGAGGACCAGGCAGAAAATGCCCCCTTCCGGTTCTCCTCAAATTCAGACCGTGTGCAGCAGTGAAGCTAGCACCAGAGGAGCCCTTCCTCCTCCTCCAACCCAGGCCGACGCCAGGGCCGACGCCAGGGCCGACGCCAGGGCCCAGGGCAGGAGGACTAGGATCAGGCCCAGGTGCAGGGGCGGCCCTGGCCCGGGGGTAAGAAGCTTACTTTATTCCTCTTACTACTTCCTTAGATTTAACTGAATATTTAAGTAACCATAAACCTATAAAAATGCTAGTTGTTATGTCTCAGAGGAACCTGAATAAACTGAAAATATTTTCTGTGCTGTAGGTACGTGGTGTTGTAACTATACTTTGCATTTTTTATTTACCTCCTTTGGTATTTTGAAAATTAAACCAGCCACATTAAATGGAAGTTTTAAACTCTTTAAAGTATAGTCGGTCTCACATTTGACATGCTCGCCTTTCCACGAGAACACTGAGTGATGGCTTATGACTCCCTCAACTGCAGTATTATCAAAGGTGTTTCACTAATGTGCCAATTTCAACTAAACAGTACTTAAAATGCTTGATATTTTGAACCACCTGCTGTAACTTCGCCGGCCTCCCCAGGCAGGTGAGCAGAATGACGAGACAACACAGTACCTGTGGGAAGGCTGCCGTGTCCTGACTTCGTCACGGGGGACTCCTGGACCCCGCCTCCTCGGTTGCCCACGGCGTTGGACATCCAGTTGTAGAAGCTCACCGACGACGGCTCAGAGAGCAGGGGGTGTTCAGACAACATGTCAGTGGCCATCGTGTTGCCTGCAAACAGAGTTTCGCTGAGGGCAGCGTTACTTATGTACGAAGAGAGCAGGAAATGTGATTTACGTAACTTTTTTGAAAAGCCAGGTTAATATCGTGCCGATGTTTTCAAATTCACTGCATGATGTTGGTATTTGGCTATTAAGGCATTAATAAATAACTAGTTATACCATGGGCTGGTCCAGACAGCACCCCGAGCCACACCTCACGTGACAGAAACATCAAATGTTGCCATGTAAATATGCAAACGAAGGACATGAAGCCACCATCAAGTTACAAACAGAAGTTTCCAAAATCCTTTCTCAGAGGTAAGGTGGAACACAGAAGATCGGTCCCACACCCAAAGAGTGCATCTAAATGACGGAAGTCCGGTTTCGATGCCTCGCTTCTCCCGTGGACATACACGTGAGGCTGTGGGACCCAGGCGCTACCTGTCCTCGTGAGGGAGCTGCTCTTGGCAGCCGCGCTGCTCCTCTGGGGGGTCCCCTCCAGCAGGTTGTGCAGGCTCGGGAAGCTCCCGGTCAGGTAGCTGAGCAGGCTCTCCTTCCTGGGGCTCTCCTTGACCGGCGGGCCGGCACGGCCCACGTGCACCGGCGAGTCCGTGGCCGTGTCGCCGCTGGTGTAGCTCAGAGAGTGGTACGGGTGGATGCCCTGCAGAGGGAACACGGGCTCATCCTTACACCTGCACACGCGGCCGTGACGACTCCCACTGTCACCTTGACACTACCACCAGTGGCTGCTCACAGAGAACCTCAAAGGTACGTCAAATGCTGCCTAACTCTTAGCACAGTGCGAGGACAGCCTTTATCACCACTCACTTATGTTAACAATGATGCATTAACTCCCTCTGAAACCTGAAGAGGAAGTCTGGTGCAAGACTTGCACCCCGAGATTCTTACTGTTACCCTTCTCACACCCTGATCACAACCCTCTGCATTAAGGGTGGATTCTCTGTAAAGCTCCAAAGTGCCAAAATGAATTTCTAGTAATTCTGAGGAAAAACAAAAGAAAGTCAAAAATTACAGAATTGTCTACTCTCTACTGGTTCTGTCACATCTAAGAGCAGAATTTCAGATCATTTTTAAACATAGTACGAAAAATGACTATATAGTCAGAAAGCAGAGAGAAGCAGAGGGCTAAAAAAATCACTTTTATTTTAAATTCTTTGGGGGACTTTTATAATCCACAAACAAAGGAAAATTCTAAAAAATTTATGAAAAAGAACAGCATTAACCACAAAACCCCTAGTGATCAGAAGGTTTGGAAAAACTGTCAACCCGGGAAAAAAATCTGAGGCATATTAAGGAGCTGAGAATTTAAAGCACCCTGGCCTTCTAACTACACTGTAGAAAGAGAATAATCCTAACAGTTCGAGCGTTTAAAAATGTATATCAAGCCATCACTGACTATTTTTATTAAAAGAGCTATCTACACAGAACTAAAACTCCACAATTTCCATAATTTCTGTGTAGAAATTATATTTTAATATAGTCAAACTTATCAATCATTGACCTTATGGATTCTGAATATTAATATAATTCAATACCCAGATTTTCAAAGAAAGTTTTAAAATATTAACTGTTTTCAGTGCTCAGAAAAGCAAACTACCAAGAAAACCCACGACACGTGCCAAGTACCGTTCTGGACATTTCCATGTACTAGTTATTTCTCACAACAGCCTTCTGAAGGCGTTTACTACTGTAAGCCTCACACTCAGTGCAGTTAAAACTTGTTGGGTCACAGGCCACGGGGTGGCAGAGGCGGGACAGAAACCAGGCAGCCTGGCCCCCAGGCGAGCCGATCACTCTGCTGCATGTCTGCGTCTTATCGAGCTTTGGTTAAATTTCCTGAAACGAAATGATGTCATTAAACCATCCAACAGCCTAACTGGAACTGCACGCCGGTCACGCACGATGATGTGACGGACACCCTCAACACTGCATTTTACGGAACAGTCGGTCACCCTCCTTCACCGTCACGTACTGACAACCTAACGTTCAAAGAAATGTGTACACTAAAAGTCAGTAACCCTGTTAACGTAACACAAACCACTATGTTTGCTAAATTTAAATATTCAGGATAGAAACCTGATACTTAAACTTGAGATGGCAAAAGTTTAGGTATTCTCTGCAAGCCTAGATAACTCTAACCCAAACTAGCAATAATGTACCTTTATTTTTAATGCAGAGTCGCTGTGGGTATGAGTCTTAGAAAGCTTCCTCATGATCTCGGCTCCAGTCACAGGCCCAGAGCCGCCCGCCGGAGGCCGAGTGGCCGTCCCTTCCAGCAGCATCGTGTGCTCACTGACTGTGGCTGAAACAGTTCCAAGAATAAATGGGCTGATTATCAGACAGTTTCTTGAAACATCAATTCCTGGTGGTTACTACACTTTACTTATTCCTGGACGAATTCATTGTGGAATCTGCTATAATAGTCACTCTTTTCCTTATTTTACTCTTCCAACCACAATGTTCTCATTCAGTCTCAAGAAAGAAAGAAAGAGCTTTTATTCGACCTCACCTACGCCACCCAAACGATATAGAGACCAAAATCCAATTCGACTAAGCTCAAGAAAGCACAAAATTTGGGGGTTAACGGGCATTTGCAGATAATTAACTAGAAGAGATATTTACTAGACTATTCTTTCGACTTGTAGACCTGAAATTTTTCAAAATAAATAATAAACAAAATCTATTCCTCATAACACATTCATTTATTAAACACAATTTAGAAGTTTATGAAAAGAAAAAAAATTGCTAAAATACATCAATGTGCTAAAAGCTCTAATTTTAAGACTACTGTCCTTTCCTATGGTGCTTTTAATATTTTTTTTCAAACTCTCATTTGATAAATTTCAATGAATAACATTTCATGAAAATGTTAAAAATTAACTTGGAAGAAGCATGAAAGCATACATGTGTATTTCTGAAATGCGTATCTCCTGCCTGAGTTCTGGCAGAATGGCAGGCGGCGTGCAGGCCTTCACACATTACAGAAATTCAGGACCGAACAGGCGCCAGATACTATTCAAAGAGCCCTTAAGACTGGGGTATAGGGGAAGACGATTAAGAGACAAACGTAAAGTTTAAAAGGAGGTCAGTACATTTCTCTCAAAATATTCAGTTAAACGAAGATGTTTGTCGTTTGTCTTAGACACATTAGGAGAAATCAACTGTATTTCACAAAATCAAGTCGGTCTAAAGAGTCCAACATTATTACCATTTATTTGAACTAATACAAATCGTACTTACATAATTAAGCCATGAAAAATTCAAATTTCAAATATGGGACATGATTATGAAAATGAGCACATGTACTGGGTTACCAAGTGCAGAAAAACCAGCTAAAATATGTAAAAAACCTACCTGCATCGAATTCGAATTCCGCCCCATCGGCGCTGGTGTCACTCTGCAGGCCGCCGCCGCTGTCCAGCCCCAGCCCATCTTCCTGCTCGTGGTCCACGGCCGACTGGGGCTTCAGCGGCTGCGCTGGCCGGTGCAAGCTGACTCCTTTGAAGGCCGGCGTCACCACGATGAACTTCATCCACTGCCGTGCCAGCGCGACTAAACCCTTCTTCAAAGTGACCAGGGCAGGCAGTCCGTCACTCTGCAACAGCGACATGGTTAGACGTGACCTTACTTACTATGGTAACGGCTGCTACCCGCGTGCTTTGCATACATTTATTCATTTAAATCTCATAATCCCATTGAGAAACGAGGAAACTAGAATTTGTATGTTAAGTGATTCGTCCCAGGTTACATAAGAAGAGCCAGCATCTTGAGCTAACTACAGAGCTTCGCCTCTAAACGTGAGGTCACATCTTTCCGTCATAAGCAACACAGCGGCTCCAGGGGACGAAGAGACTGAACCTGGGGCGTGAAACTGGGATTCTTCTTGAGAAGCATCCAATCCACTTTAGCTCTTTTGCCCAAGTGAAGAATCGGATGTATTTTGAACTACCTGGAATATTCATTAAGTAAAGGGGGAATGAAAGTATTCCTTTCAAGAAAGGTAACCACCACTATTTTTAACATTAAAAAACCTTAATTGCTGTAGTGAAATGCTGGGTGTAGATGGGTTTGTAACTGCTTCGAAAGTTAAATGTGTAATCAGTGCAAATTACGTAACTTAGAATATATTTCATCCCACATGGCGACGACTATAAGAAAGAAAATGTGGCCATTGTTCCTACTGGGGCCTTCGCCTCCGTCCCGCACGCGGGTCCTGGCGTCGGGAGAAACGGCTTTGACTGGAGAGTTATTCGCCAGCAAGGCGTCCTCCACTGAAGGCTATCGGGGGTCTGCCTGGCCTCTGACACGGCGGCTACAGTGGTCCCCACTTTGCTGCCGACTGACCAGCAGCTGGAGGGGAGAAGGCACAGCCGCGTCTCCGTGACGTGTCCTCCCCTGAAGCACTCTTCTGGAGTCAGAGATGTGTCGTGCTTATGTTGATCGTTAATTAGTCCTTATTTTATTAAATAAGTCTATGAAATCTGACTCGGGTGATCACTCTCTTGTTTGAAACTCATTACGCCCTTGGCTTCCAGGACATTCTTTCTGGATTCCCCCACCTCTTCCTTCCCTCCTCAGCACCCACCCTTCCCGCCCCCTTTAATTCTGGTATTCTTCAGACATCCATCCGTGCCCGGTTTCTCACTCAACACACCATCCCTAGAAGTCTCATCCACATCCACAGCTTCTGACGCCTTTCTGCTGGCAGCTCCCACCTGTCGCAGTGCTGGCAGTCACCGCCCTGAGCCTGCTGTTGTCTGTGGCCCGTATTTCTGCCTGACCTGTGCTTCTGACTTCCCACACGCACCTCACGCCCTGTAGGTGCGTCCATGCCTCGACAAAACAGAGGCTCCTGTGGAGCTAGTGCGCACTGTCAGACACTCACCATCGTAGCATCGTCGATGACGGAGTAATTGGCCTGGTGCAGGTAGTGGTGTAGTATATTGCACAGCAAACATGAAGGATTTTCTTGGAGAAAGCGGGCAACTTTTGTAAGTCTGTTGTATTTACTTCTTAGGGGAAAATGCACACTTTTATTCTGAAACAAAGCAAAGATAACAGGTTTAGAAGGACATATCGAAGATCGTACAAATAAAAGCCATCCAGTAATTAGAAACTTGCACATCTGCCACTTTTCAACAATGATGAACAATAAGGATCATTTTGATAGTAAACTCTGTATGATACCTTGTATTGTTGGACGACTTACCTCTAATGCTTCAGTCATTATGCATCCCATGACAGCACACACTCTCAACGTCCCCTCCGTGTCTAATTTGTTCAAGGATGACTTGAGTTGATCAATGGGAACAAGCCATGCGCCGACAGCTGGAGTCGCAGTGCTTAAGAGGTTCAGCTGCCTTTAAAGCATTTTTTAAATATAAAAACAAGTGTCAAGCTTTATATTTCGAATAATCTTCCATATCTACTGTATGTAGTGGCTATTTTATTTAGGCAAAATTACTTCTCCTTTTGACCACCAGATACATTATGAAGATATAACTAGGATATACAAAGAACAGATCAAAGAAAAAAGTACATAAAAATGCATTAGAGGTGAAAAGGATAAAAAGCTCATGGCAAGGTAACATGTAAAAGTAACACGAAAGTCCTAGAAAAGAAAAACAGTCAAACGAGCTGAAAATAATGTCTAGAGAAAGCATGGAATAGGAAAGATGGGGAAGAGGCGGCAATCCTAATACTAGATATGTAAAAAAAATAATTCAAAAAACCCCGATGAAACAAAACTTTCTACTTAGAAAGAAGAGAGGCCGAGCAAGGGCGCGACGTTTCTGAACCCTTTACCTGGAAAAGGCGTGTGCGGGAGACCGCACATTGGTGGGGGCGGCAAAGCTGAACCAGATCTCCCGGATGGTCAGCTTCATGCTGCAGGAGTCCGGAGGCGGAGGCATGAGAGGCAGGTCTTTCTTTAAGTCATCGGACTCTACTCCCTCATCCTACATAGAATACAACGTCAAAAATGCTTTGCTTAGGGACGTTAAGGATTTTTTCCAGATGAAGAAAATGAGAAAGAGGGGCTTCGTAACTTGCCGGAAGTCACACGACTATTAAGTAGGAGAACGAGTGATGGAATTAAGGCCTTAGTGGTGCTTCCTACTGTGATCTTTTTCTCCTTTCCATTTTCGACAAACTACTTCGACTTTCCAACTAAAGTGCCATAATAAATACTATTGTAGCCCGTGTTTAATTAAATAGCACTCTACAAAAAGTTCTTAGTTATCTTATATGCTAGTGATCTAAATCTGTACTGAGAAATAGGAATAATACTTTCTAAATGCGTAACCGCCACTCTTCAGAATGCAGGGAAGTAAGAAGCATCACATTAAAGAAACGAACAAAAAAATTCTACTGCCTATTCCATCGACTTAAGGTCGTCAGTCCACTTTAGATATCATTGGTCAAGATGAGGAAGGCTGGTCTTTTCTCACGGGGTGATTAAGGAATGGAGACCAGCTCTGACCCCCAAGTGCTATGAAACACCGTGAACTGCAGACCCCAGCGAAGTCGGCAGGTGCTAAACGAAAGCCCTTATCTGCAACATCCTGAAAAACCCAAATCTTCATCTGTAAATGTGGCATCAGAAGCTGCTTATCCCACCTGGTGTTCTGCACTGTCGTGCTGCAGAAGTATTTAAACAGTTCAAGATGAAGAGCTGCCTCAGATTCCACCGGGAGTTTATGTAACACAGAACACAACACATTACCTTTCTTTTAAAAGAGAAAAATCTGAATTCTCAAATACATGTGGCCCGTGGGTTTCAGACAAGGGCTGTGAGCCAGCCACTGGGTATATACAAAGACACAGAAGACGGTCTTGTGGAACTTGAAATTTTTAAAAAGGAGGGGGACTTGTAGATAATACGCAAGTAATGTAAAAGCATGTGAAGCAAAGAATAAGCTTGATTTGAGACTGAATTTCTGGAGCTGACGGATGGCACGGTGAGTGAGGATGTCTGAAGGGCCCCTGGAAATGGTTCTGGAACCGAGAAGGGTTGGTGCCAACGGCCCAGCAATGGGAAAGGGCAGTGTCATCAAGTTACAGAGCTCGAGCAGGCAGCGAAGTCAGGGAGCGGACAAACAGGAGAGTGGCCGAGGACGGGGCATGGGGACAACGCCACGGTGAAGGAGGACGAGCCCTGCACAAGGCAACGGACCAAGTGAAGTCAGAGGACTCTAAGAAAGCAATGTTACAGACTGTGAGGCTTCCGGCAAGGACCACGGGGCCCGGAGCTCAGGGAGACGCATGCACTTGCCAGGCATTTCGTAGGCAAAGGGAGCCGGCCAGGCCCCTCCCAGCTCTTTCCAGTAAGCAGCTCCCACAATTTCCTTAAATAAAATGCTAAGCCCACCCGCCCCTCAAATACTTCCAAAGACCTCGCAATAAAACTGATTAAACTCTTAAACGTCAAAATAAGTATTTCAAAAGAAATTCCTAGTTCACAGGTGATTATGCCAATGAATACTGCATACCCATGATACGCTCTTAATTAGAAGGCAGCTTCTTTACTCTTCAATTGGCCTCATTTTCCAATGATCATGAGAGAGTGTGAGTGTGTGTGTGTAAGCGCAACATCTACTGAGCTCTCACTACGTGACAGACGCTGAGCTAAGCCTTTCATAGGTACTGTCTCTTGAACCTTCACCTGTCTAGAAGATCATATCACTACGATATTACTGTTACAGGCGGAGAAACTCAAGAGTAAAGAGCTTGCCCAAGGTCACCAGTCATTTAGTGGTACAACTCTTCTGTAATCCAGAATTTTAAATATTTTCGTCATTGCTGTTCCTGTACTCATCACCATGAAACTCTACCATAATACAAATGACAAATGAGTTAAATATAACGTGTTCTTTAGGACTCTGAAATAGGAAGATGTTGATAAAAATACTTAGAACTTACGTGAAATACTACCAGTAATGAAACTAATTATTTAAAAAATTAGTTCTGCTAAAATCCTTCAAATGACACAAAAACAAAGCCTGCTTTTGAAATTCTATTAATTTGTTAATTCAACAAATATTAAGTGACTAATATGAACACAGTATTATGGTAAGTACTGACACATATTAATATACGTATGATGTAGTGTCTACAGAAATTATATTCTAGAATTATAATTGCCAAAATGCCTTGAGTACCATTTAAGCAAAATCCAAAATATAGAAGATGAGCAAACATACTCCGAAACTTAATTTTGAATTGGACGTGTCATTTTCATTGTTACTTTTCCAAAACATTATTATTAGAAGTTTACCAACCTGCTCATCTGAAACGGAATTCCCATTTAAGTCTGAAGAAGGGCTTGTTCGGTCACAAGGCAAATTATCGTCGGAGACATCGGTGTTGTAGCCGCTGCCGGTCGGAGAATCCGAAGAATTATTGGACGTCAGCACCCCAGCCCTTTCCACGCCACTAGCTTTACCCATCATCCCAAAAGTATTATATAACACAGCTCCGGACTGTCTCCCTCCTGTAAAAAGGAAAGGGGCCATTACAAACAATGGGTATCTCAATGATGTACTCTACGACACCCATGCGGATAAAAATAAACTCATACAGATCTTTTTCTTCTCATCAAAATTTTGCCCTTATCTATAAAAGTGATGTAAGATGAGATTATCAGGTAAGGAACTGTAGGCATATACAACTCCTATTACATATGACTAAACCTAAAAGTCTTATACACGGTTCAGCCTTCCTATTTTAATATATTAATAATGTAAAAGAAAAATACGACTAAGTCAGTACCTCACCAAGTAAAGGATTTACAGTACTTTCATCGTATATGGCAAAGCTCTGCTAATCAAAGACCCAGTTTCCAAAGATGCAAGCTTCCAAAAGCTGGGGGCTCCGCTCTGAACCAGACTGCTTTGTTCAGACACTGAAGTTCTACTCGGAATCACACAGTGGAGGGAACCGGGGTGGGCACCCACCCTTGGTGCCTAACCCTGGGTACCACACTCTCTCCTTGAATATGCTGATTCAGGTTATTGAAAGTAATGACTGTTCAAAACATTCCAGCAATGTGTGCCAATTTGTCCCTGACTTAAGCAGAATCCCCTACCCCCCGCCACACACAAAAAAAATCCACTCACCTTTTATGGTTAAATTTTCAAGTCCACATTCAAACATTATCCAACCCCATTTTTCTTGGCTGGGACCTATTCGAGTTACATCTGGAACAGCCTGCTGATCAGTTTCATCCACAAAAGTAAACTCATCCAACTCTTCAAGAGTAAATAAAACTTTGGACTTCTCAAAGGGAATAGCAGTGATGGCACAGGTACCAATATCTATTAACAAAAGAGAGTAAAACCACCATTTTTAAAGACAGGTTTGTACACATTTTTTAAAACACCAAACAATGTAAACATTTGGCAGTGGTTGTTCTACAGATATCACAGTAGTTGTCCGTGAAAGAAAAATAAACGAATGAGCTACCAACTTCCGAAATGACGCTGTCTTATGCCATACTACTTAAAAAGTGCCAGAATCATGCTGGAGTAAGAGGAAGAAGATTCCATAATTAACAAATAATTGCATAATTAACAAGTAATTACATTTAAAAAACAATAAATGCAGGATGAATTGTTTCTGAAAGACTATAAGATATTCTGAAAATCTAAAGTTAAAAAGCTCCTGAATAATTCAGCTTCATAGTAAACATTTTAAAATATTTCCTTACCATTTTACAAAATAAAAATTATTTTAATTATCAGCCTTAGGAAAAATATTATTTTCTAGAAAAATTACAGCTTTTACCAAAAGACTGCTTTATGCTAACACTTTATACAACAATTCATCACAGATATTGCCATTTTCCACCACTTGTAATATGCAATATAGAAATTAACATCCTGACTACCTGGCAGACATTTTTATTTTATCTTACTTTTTAAAATGTGTTTCTCTGATTAGAGCTCATGAATACAGAAAAGCAAAAAAAGAAGATTAAAAAAACACATGTAAATTTACCATCTAAGATAAGTGGTTTACATTTGAAGTAAGTTTCCTTCTAGCTCTTCAGAGATCATTTCACAAATCTAGCTTTGGTTCCCAATTTTCATACAACAGTAAGCCATGGTAACTTCCTCAGGTCACTAAAAATTCTTGCAAGATGTTATTTTAATAGGTCGATAGCATTCCATTACGAAAATACTACACGTTTACAATTAGAAAGTCTTGATCATAAAGTATTCGCCTACATCTTTCTGAAGTTTTCTCATTATTTTTTATATTTGTCTTTAACTCCAAGAACTTATTCTGACATTTGGCATAATGTGAGGATTTAACTTGAATTTTATTTAAATTTATTGATTGACTAATGCACTCAATGGATCAAAGTTCCAAAAGTAGGAAAGGGTCTCCAAGGAAAGCTTCCAACAGCACCTCACCCACCATCCATGTCCCCTGCCTGCAAGGTAATGAACGCCATTAGATTGTTGAGCATCCTTTCAAGGATATCTTATGCAAGATACGACTTCAACAAGAATATTTACATTTCTTTTTTTTCCGGCATTTTTATGCAATGGCCATCTTGGAATTTCTTTAGGAGATTTGCCTTTGAAAAGTTTTTTCCAGATCAAGTGCCTTTCAAAATTACACGTAGCTACTGCTTAAGTCTGTGTAACGCCCAGGTGGTTGTTGGTGCAAATCACAGAGCTAAGGAAAGTCCTTCTGTACCTCCCGCCACTGTGATGGGCCCCACCCAGCACGAGAACCACAGAGCTCAGGGGTCAGAACAGTCTCTTCGTTGGGAATCCTCCAGTCAAATGCCTTAGCCTCAAACACAGGACAGTGACATGAGCCTTGAGAAAGCCGGAGCAGTTACACAGACCCAGAACACAGACAGGAATCAGGGAACCTTCAGAGCATACAGAATACAGGGAGCAAATTCAAGGAAATCATTTGCTCATCCAGGACTGGTCACCTGTCGCACATGGAGATTGCAGCATAGCTGCCATCTCAAATAAGACTAACAAATTCAGTTTCTCCTGGATTGAATCTTTGACCATCTGAGATCATTTAAGTCTCCTAATGAGCACATGCACTGAGTTGAGTCAAAAATACTGAGATGACACATGACATCTCTAGTTTTCTCCTTCGCCTCACCGGGGGCTTTAAGAGGCATAGCCGTGCCTATCAGTCCTACCAATGCTGTATTTTACAGACCTGACTATCTACTATCGGTATCGCAGTTACCTATTTTTAATAAAGTTGTGCCGACATAACGATTTAATAGAGCAAGAAAGACTACAGAGAGCACACTCCCTCTCTCCTGCAGTGAGCGAGCAGACACCATGAAGCAACCAGACGGGCTCCTAACGTGAGGCCACACCACTCACTGTTCCATCAAAGTTCACCTTCCGTTCTGTGCAGAAAGGGAGTGATGAATAGTTTAACACCATGTGTTCAATAGAGGCAGATATATCTTGCTCCTTCTTATGAAATGTTCAAATTCTAGCAATATTCGGAGGAAAAAAATTTTTTTTTTTTTTTTTTGCAAAATCCTCTGATATTTATACAAGTCGAAGGAAAACCATTTGTTGTAGAGTCCTACCTGTTGTGTCTAGACCCCTGAGCTGTCCGTGAACTCGATGAATGTTTAACTTGGCAGCAATTTCTTTGCCTTTTTCCGCTCCGGCATTTGATCTGAGCGATCCAGATGACTGCGGCTGCATCTTGGTGGCGTGGACATACCTATCGAAATGCGACGTTCTGCTGGGTTCTGCACTGTTTGCAGTCTCTTCAACCACACCTCTTTCCGAAGAGAAAAAGGACGACGGTTAACATTTAAAAACACTTAACTCAACAGTGTTCTTTTCTTTAAAAAAATTCCACTGCTTTAATTAAAGCAATATTAACAGTAAATTCTTCAGCGTTTACTGAAAAATAGTATGAATAAAAACAGTACAAACCTTTAAAAACCTACAAAGTAAGATTTGAAATTCCAACACCAGTTTTAAGTTTTAACATCAGAATTTTCAGAAATGTATTAAATAGACGATGAAGGCTTGCTTTTACACTCAGCAACAGGAGCATGGCTCGAGTTAATAAAACCTTCCTTACCTGTTCATACGAACTTGTGTCGCGATTCTGTCGAAACACAATGCAACCAGGGACACGTGAGTCACACTTCTACCAGGAGCTGTGCTTGGAGATTCTTCCACTGAGGCTTGCAACAAACACAAGTTCACCTAACACACAAAATGTCACAAACGACAGAGTTGAAAAGTGAAAGTATAAACATAAGATATAGAAAAAAAAAATGAATAATCTTCTGTCAGGAATGGCATACCTAAGTGTCCGAGAGTGATGAAGACCAAGCTTATGAACATGGACTCATAAAATAATCATAATTAAATTCTTACTGGATGGATGTGGAATGCTTTAGTATATCTTACCCAATATTCTTTTAAGTGAACTTATTTACATTATATTAACTCTTACATTAGACCATCAGGGAATAAAGTATATATTTTTGATACTCAGTTCAGTAAACACAAAGGCTAAAACCACTAAAATGCTCTCCTCTTTCAGGAAAACTTTAAAAACCTTAAGGTTTACCTTTGGTATGCTAACGTTAGCCTGGAGGCCTTTAATCGTGACATTATCCTGCTTCGCTGTGAGACTGAGATTCGTCTGAGCCGGTCCTCGCTGGGTCGTTCCCACGGTGGAGTGCTCGGTTTTGGATGCTCTCACGTCTTGTTTGGAAGATAACTAAAAAGAGAGAGAGGAGGAAGATGACCTCACAGACCTTTCACAATTCCCATGGCATCCTCAACAGTGACTCGCTCATTCGCTGAGCTCCTTCACGCCCGTCCGTGCGCCAGCTGCCATGGGGTCAGGCACCCTGAGTCTTGCAGTCCCCACCTTAGGGGACAGACTGGCAGCTTCAGGGTGGAGAGGAGTGATACATAATAAAGAGAATTCGGCTTGCAGAGAAACACACAGGAAAAATAACAGGCACTTTCTTGAATCACTGAATTCTACTTACGTGAGGGCAGCTCTGGTTTCTCGTAACTGGCTCGCTGTTGGCCGGGAATTTTCAAGTTTCCTTTGGTCTGCACCCCTCTGCCCTAACTACAACATGTTTGGAATGACTGGACCACGAAAACTATCGGCCTCGCTCTCACCTTGCCTCCAGGCCCTAGTCCAAGCACAACCCAGGTCGCTCGGCAGGTCGGACGGAGACCCGCCAGAAGAGCACCACGGTGTAAGCACTAAGGAACCAGCCCCGGGGCCTCTGGGATGAAAAGAGATCATGCTGAATTGTGGCTCTGGAACGCCTGGTGTCCACACTGCGGGGAGGTGGAGGTGGAAGTGCTAGGAGCGGCCTGTCTTCTCTGGTAGACCAGGGGTCCACGCAGGTTCTTACGTTTTCTGAGAAGGTAGTCTTGCTGCTCTGCACAGCCGCCCTGAGGACTTTGGCGTGAAGATCGTCCACGATCGCGGCCGGGTGTCGGGTGCTGGCACAATGAACCATCGCTTCGATATACCTGAAGGAAGAGAAACAGTAAATGAAAACATAAATATCGTTTAGTACGATGATCTAGTGTATCAACGCTGCTCCATTTACGTTCCAGTCTAGATTCTGGTCATACTGGTTTTACCTCCCTAGATAAACTATAAGCTTCTAACAGGACAGAGAACCTATTCCTCCCCCTTTACCCCTCCATGAACAAGATAGTAAGAATATCAAACACAATAATTATTATTGGGTATCTGATCATTTTATGCTCATCAGCCCAAAAGCAAAAAATGGAAAATATAATGCAATATGATTATTATAATTCTGCAATATAATTATTTAGGCTGAAAAGTAACAAATGGTAACCAACTGAAACAGACCTTTTAAAACACACTTTCATTCTTGTTCAATCACAATAGGTATCGCAAGCCTTGTTCTCGACCAACGTATGACATATACTAATCATCACAACACAGACATTCATTTTGAAATAATAGGTGTAGTCGCAGACAAAGGTAGCACCTGTCTAAGGCTTCAGCCACCAGGGGAGTCAGGACGATGTCCACAGTCCCTTTCACTTCCACGATGGCCGTGGTTCTGGTCTGAGAGACGGGCTGGTCCAGGGTCCACTCTTCCGTTAGCGTTTCGTCATCTGTGTTCTCGGCGGCTTTCCTTTCCAGAGGCGTGTACGGTGTGCTGGACAATGTAACAAGCAGAGATGTGTTACGAAGACCAGAACGACAGAAGGTGCTTTCTTAACACGAGCGACCACTTACACCTACCAAGGCTTCCACCAAAAGTTTCACAGAACTGGACTAGAAAGTTTATGTCCCAAATACTTTTCAAAGAGGACAAGGGAGGTACTAACATGCAAACTGATCAAAGGTGGTTAATATAGCGAATGAGCAAAACAAAATTTTGATATATTTACTTAATGGGGCTTTTCCAAAATATGAAAACTACAATTCGGAAGTCTTGTTAGTCCCCAGTTTTGATATGCCAGGTTGTGGCCTGCACAGTATGCTGACAGAAATGCCACTAATTACTTATAAATGTAAGCGAAGCCACGACAGACAGCAGAATTGAATTACTGGCGTAATTTATCCATAAAATAAGTCTACAGTCACGTAAAGAATATTACTTCTCAGAATAAAATCTACATATCTCATAATCAAAAAAGGCAGACTTAAAACTTCAAAAGTATGTACTTTTTACTTACTTTGAAGTTGATCCTGAAAATTGCATTCCTCTGTCTAGTAAAGAATTAGCTGTGAGTCCCTGTTTGATAACCTAGAATAATATAAAGCGTTACTTATAGCCTAGAATTTTAATATTATTCTCTAATTTTATGCTATAGACTGATTATTTGTGAAAGCTGATTACCATATTAATATGATTTTGATATATATAAATATCTGACAAACTGAGAAAATAGTCATTTGGCAATTTCATTTTGTTTATTCTGACAAGCGGCACAGCAGCTCTGGGAGGATGTGGCAGCGAGAGTAAAAGGCACGACGGAGCGTTAGAGCCAGTGCCGCGAGTTCCTTTCAAATTGAGTTTCTAAGCTAATTTTAGAGTCTCTTCCTAGCACAGTCGACTTGTAAGCGGAAAAGAAGGCCACAGAAACATTACATTACAGGAAAAGCTAGATTGTATTTTGTATCACAAAAGTTAAATAAAATAAATGCACTTGAATAACCAAACTGAACCCTTTTAAATGACAGCCAGTTATTTAGATTTAATGGAGAAAAATAACTTTTTTTTTACTCTCTGTGCTTTATCTTTGAAGTTATCTAAAGATATGAATTCCTTGACTTATTTCCTCCAGACATTTGACCATCTAATCAAACTAGAAAGTTTTACTGAAAATACTAAAAGAATTCTAAGCTCCCAGGTACTCTGCACAGCACGTACCATTCTATTTTACATTGGAAAATTCTGATATCAACATTTTCACATGGAGTAAAGAGAACATTCTGAAATCTTAACATAAAAACAATTCATCCTGGGCAAGAAGACAATGGGCATAAACTTAAAACCAAAACTCTGTAAATGTCACTGTTTCCTCTTCCTTCACACATATTACTCGTGTGTGTGCACATGTGTGTTATGTTACATGTGAGGATATATCGTCTGCGAGGATACTCAACTCCACTTATCGCTTTTGCATCGTTACTCTAAGTCCAAGCACAGGCTGCTGCCACAGGCTCCTAAGTGATCACCCGCTTCCTCTCCTGCTTAATGACCATTCCACGTAGGAGCCAAAGTACATGAGACCGCATCGCACCTCTTAAAGCTCTCAGGAGTTTCCCAATGAAATTCAAAGAGAAATCTGACTGCTGATACCTGGGTCTGTAACCCTGGTTCCAGCCTCCAGCTCACCGGGAGCAAGGCCCCGGCAACTCACTCCACCTCGCACCCCATCGACTTCCTGCCCACCTTAGATCCCCAGCGAGGCTGAAGCTGTGCCCAGAACGTACTTCCCCAGTCTTCCCACCCTCAATCCGCCTCACCCTTTAAGTTCCAGGCTAAGTCTCGGCCAGACCTTCCATGTCACTCCGGTACCACTCCCCACTGTCCTCTATCCCAAGCCCCTCTGCTTATCTTCACGAGACTTCCCAACTCGTAATCAAATACTTATCTGTTTATCTATTAACTCTCTGTCTCACCCCTAAACTCTAAGCTCCAGGCCCATCTCCCACATCAGTGAAGAGCAATGCTGGGCACACAGCGGTACAGGATCAATATCTAAATTAAGAATACATTAACACTTAGACACTTTAGGTGTGTGTGTGTGTGTACATGTGTAAGTGTGCACCACACAGATTCCCGAGCACTGCTCATCAGACCCGTAAGATTTTATATGCTTAACTTTGGTCTCTAAAATCATAAAAATGTCTCTTATAAATATATAATTTTATAAAATAGTTTTCATATTGGCTATCATCACTACATTTAGCTTGACTTATTTTTAGCTTTCCTCAAAAAAGCTGTTTACAGAATACATTATAGAAGTGGACAACAACCCATTCATAGTAAATTATAAGACCTCAAACGTCAAATGAGTGAAAGCGGCTTTGCAAAGAGGCAGCTATGGGTTAGTAGAAAGGAAACCAACTATTAAAACCAATTTCTAAGACACGGAAAATGTGAATTCACAGAGACTGGATGCCCATCTTAGAGCATAATGCAGAGACTATATGTTGATGGAGTAACACTGTGACAACCAAGTCTGAAACCAGTCCTCAATCTGACAGCCTTAAATATATACTATCCACCAATAATGCTGAGACCCTCTCTCCTACATGAAGCCATGACCTCAGAAACTCTCTCTCAGAAGGGCAGCTAAAATGACAGAGTAATTCTGAAAACAACATCTTCAAAATTGCGCTCCTAAGTCCGCCCACCAGGGAGACGAGTGACGTGCTGTGTACCTTAAAAGCTGGGATGGACAGCTGCTCCAGGGATGAGGCGCTCTCCTCGCTGGTCGGCGTGTCCAGGTCGAGGGGGCGATGCAGCGAGGACTTGGAGGTCCTTTTGTTGGTCGGGTGCTTCGCCGACCAGTTAATCACCTGGAACTGAGTGAGGTAGGTCTGGTAGCAGTTCATCGCCGGCTGCTGAGACATCACCTGCTCGCTGTCTCCCGTTTTCTCGCCTTCCGCGGGGTACAGGTGCTCCACGACCTCCTCCCCTCCCACCGCGGACACAAAGGAGGCCTGGGAGGGGTGGGCTTTGAACGGCAGGGTCCGGGGGCCCTGCACGCTCTCCCCGTGGCCGCTCAGGGGCCCTTCCACACTGTGATATATGGAACCCCTACTGTAGTCGAGCTGCTGAGTTTGCTTTTTCTTCTTTTTCCTTCCTGGGTAAGTTCCAGGCCCTTCGTCACTGCTAATGGGCTCGAACTCCTCAGCTGCAGAAAAGTAGGCCTCACTGTCAGCCATGGACATGCTGGAATCCATGGATCGATACTGGTGAAACGAATTGGAGTCCGCTGATGGCGTGTACGGAAATGAACCAAAACTTCTTCTCTGCTTCGGTGAGTCTAGAACATTCTCATCACTCCTGGAGACATCGCTACTAAACTGGACTCCAACCGTCACAGGCTGCTTGTCCCCATAAAAGGCAGCGGTCAGGCTCTTGGTACTTCCAAGTCGGGTGGAACACACGGAGGCCTGTCGCTTCAAGGGGGACCTCAGGGGAGACTGGCCGACGGACTGGTCCTGAGCACTGGGGGACACGGGGCTGCTTCCAGGAATGTCCGCGGGGATGCTGCGACAGAAAGCGAGGCTGCAGCCACTGTGCATCGCAGCGCCTGCTCTAAGTACGAACGCCGCTTATCCAGTCCTTTCGGTAATTTTAATCATTTATTTTACAAAGAAAAGAAAATCTAAAATTTCGCAACATCCTTATGAAATAACAGCACAATGTGTGTTCATACCCCATAGACTCCCCCCACCCCCCAAAAAGTTGAGGCAGCTTAAAATAATAGAAACTTAAAGAAAACCAGAGTATAATCTTCTATCCATAATTATTGAACACTAAGGCATTTATATGGATTTTTTTTTCCTGTCCTTTAAAAGCTTGTCCAACAAAACACACGGGGACCTTTGATTAAATGAGAGGAACTGGAGAAGGGGAAGAAGTCATAGGGAACCCTACTATTTCTGACTTTGGCAGCTGATGCAGGAGTGCCATTTACTGAGGCAGAACAAGGTGACCATGAGAGGCAAAAGGTCATTTTTTATAGGTCAAGTTTGAGGTCTCCATGAAACATCCATGTAGAGAAACTAAGAAGGTAACTGGGCTTCCGCAGACAAAGGTCCTGGCTGGAGTTCGCAGACGTGAGCTACAGATCATAGCAGCTCAACAGCCCCTGACACCGTCCAGGGAAACGGTACCGAGGGACAGCAACACACACGCCGGCAGTAAGAGGAAGGGGAGGGGCAGATGGAGGACGTGGAAGCCCAGACTGAGAAGGAAGATGGCATAGGAGGCGGGAGGAAAGTCTGAAATGTGTTACCAAGAGGAAAGTATATTTCAAGAAATGAAATGAGTCATCAGCTGGTATAAAAAGAGGAGGACCAAACACACCCGCCGGACCGGAAGGGCAACACCCCAACGTTAACGACTTCTCACTCTGAGTGGTGGGATGACAAGCAGCATTTTACTGCCAATATACTTTTCCGTATTTTCCTAATACCTGGAATGACTATATATGTATTACTTTTATAATCAAAAAGACAGCAGCTAATGGACATTTTGCAGTATGTTCGGGGGGAGGACAAAAGTTTGTAAAGTGGGTGAACTGAGAGAATGGATCTCCTGGCCACGATGACAAGCGACTGCACCTGTCACCGAGGCGACACTGACCTCGCACGGCCGTCCTCTCTCTTCGCGCCCTGCAGGAACTCCTTCTGGAGCACGCGGCCGTCGGCAGCACAGGAGGGACTGTCCCTCTCGCCGGCCAGCAGCGGCTGCGCGGCGCTGGAGCCGCTGTTCTCCTCGGACGACGAGGACGAGCTGTGGGAGCGGGACGGCACCTGCAGGCCGCGCGGCTGCGCCTTCCGCTCGGCCTCGGCGCCCGCCGACCTGGCTTCCCAGTCCCTCCTCTTCGTGCCGCTCACGGTACCTAAGCCACGAACAAAAGGTGAGTGACACGAACATAGTAACTTCAAGAGCAATTTATGAAAAATGTGACTATGTTTTGTTTTGTCCGTTTTTAAGTATGCCCTTTTTTAAGAAGCACTGGTATCTAACTCCACATAGCAACATATGGATCCGGAATTCAAAGACAGTGAATTTTTCTATTTTTTTAATCTTTTATTTGAAAAATTTCAAACTTACAGAAAACTGAAGAATAATACAACACCATCTTCTACTTGGAATTACCTATTTAAAATGTGTACACACATTTCGGTCTTAGTATTCAGTGAAAATTATGTATTAGCATCATGTATTAGTATTCAGTGAAAAACCATCTAAGCGAGAAGTTGGCACATGTCTAACTCCTTTCCACTAAGAGCTCCTTATACGTGGCATATCAATCCGATAAACTCTTACAACTATTTTTCTTATCTTTGTCTACTGACAGAAAGCAGTGCTAAGTTAATGGTTTTGAATGGACCAAGGAAAAAAGGCTAAATATTGATGAAACATGGAGACTTTTGTACATTTCACCTATTAACAGCGCGGCAGCTTAAGCAGTGAATATTGCACGTAACCGTAGGGACTACGACACCCAGGGGAAAATCCATTTCCGAAGTCTTTAGAGAAAAGACAGCAGACCCATCTAAATCTGCCCCGCGGGGAAGACCCCGTCCGCGGCTCTCCCCCAGGGCACGCGCTTATAAAGTCCCCTAGGTCGCTGAGGAAGGCCACGCTTCTCTTCCGGACATGTTCAATTTCAGTGATCAGGAGAATATTTTTGAAAAAGGAGTCGATCACATGGGGGCCAATGGTATAAATACTACTATTGATAAGTTTTCCTATAGAAGCAAACTGGTAAACAACTGTTAGCATGAAGCGTAACTATTACTAAGTATAACTCTGGAAACTCGGTTCTAGGAAAATACTGATATACAAGGAAATATTCAGAATGAGCTTGGCTAGGAAAGTCACCCACGTCAACGGGAGGAGATTTGAATAATGGGTCCATTTCCGCCTCGTGTAACTCTGAAAACCTCACTAGTGTTATCTGGCTTTAGATAAATCACCTGCAAAAGAAGGTAGATTATACGGAACCCCACACCTAAGACTGTTCAAAAAGACGGAGTTGCTCAAAGTAACACTGAACTTCTCTGAGAATGGCACAGGGATAAACAGATTAGCACAAGCGACAAAATAATACGTTCTATTACCGTCTACGATTTTGGGAATTTCCTTGGTAATAATCCATTCTCCAGGCTGTAGCAGAGACTGTCCATAATACATGTCAGACTCCGCGCTTGTGCTTGAAAACGCAGAGCTGCTGGAAGGTGTCGACTCCTCAAGTTTGAAGAAATCTAGGCCTGTTACTGTGCCACCAAAAAATCTGCAGCCACCGAGACAACCACACTTGTTCCGGCTCCTCTTATTCTTCACGGTGTCATCTGGCCACAAAAACCACAACCTAAACAGAACCCAAAACAAACCAAAACGACAACACACAACAAAAACTCATTAAGAAAAGTAAAACTTTTTGGCAGGTAATTAAACATAAGTTACCTGTCAATATTTTAAAATTATTCATAATAATTTTTAAAAATTGTTAACATTTTTAAAACAGCAAAGGTTTATTTTTACTGTGGCATTCTTTTTAATCATTTTTTCATTCTAATAAACAAACAAACAACAGTCTCACTACGATGAGAAAGAAATAAGTAGGAACAGTAATGAGAGATAGCATCTATTAAAAAAAAAGCCAAAGAACTAAGAAGCAGCAAATATTAAAATCATTTAAATCCAGTTTAAAAACAGCAGTAAATATTCTTAAAAGGACAAAAACTTTGAAACATTAATCTAAAAAGTGAACAAAACTATTAATATAGATGTTTAATACATTAATTCATAACCTTTAGCATTTCAGAGCCTATTTCACATGACACCAAAAAATATGGGGTAAGAAATTATTTCTCAATAAAACCAAAATAATGCAACTAAAATAATGCATTATTCAATATTTTAGAGAAAAACATTTACAATAATTTTGTACTAAGTACTCTAAATGAAGTATTAAGAATTGAGATAAGAGAAAATATATTCAAAATTCTTCACGCTCTGAGTAACCCACACACAAATCTGTCAGTATTTATTAATTCCTCCTCTTTCTTAAAAAATATTATATTATAATATAAATCTAAATATTATATAATACAAATCCTTTTTTCACATGCATTATCTCATTGGGTCCTCAGGGCATCCACAGGAAGACAAAATTGGGATCATTTTCATTTTATATTCATTCGTTTATATTTCTTGAACACATCTACTATGTACCTAGTGTTGATTTTAAAGCACTCTCAAAATAAAAGACCTTATATATCCCATAGACTTTTTTACTTGCAGCAAAAGCTTAGTGGCATACATGGCTTTGTGGTCATCTTCATGTGGGTTCAAATTCTAGCTGTGCCACTTAATAACTCTGGGACTTTGGACAAGTTAGTTAACACTTCAGAGCCTTAGTTTTCTCATCTGTAAAATTATGGTCTGATATACCTAATAAGATTGTCGTGAGGATTAAACAGCATCATGTGTGTGAAGGACCTGACGCAAATGTGAACGCAGAGGTAACAGATGTGAGCTCTCCTGCCCTCCCCTTCATAGCATTTACCACGGCACTGGTTCTCAAACTGGTTCTCAAACGTCCGCTTGCAGAACCACCTGGACGGCATATGGAAATGAGGAGAACTGGGCTCCGCCCACAGAGAATCTGATTGGGGTCTGAGAAGGCCTGCTCATGGACGCTTCTAACAAGTTCCAAGGAGATGTTGGTGCCAGTGGTTTGGGAACTGTACCTTCCAGAAACACTAATCTAATGAAACTAACAGTCTCTGTGCTCGGTAACTTTTCCAGTTATATCAGGAATGAATATACCTACTCCCCAAAACTCCTGGGAACCAAACATCCACCAAAGCACCCAAGCTGAAGGTCAGTGAGCTACTACCACATAGGGACACAATCACACTAGGTCTGTATTTAAAATACTCTTACTATGTTGCTAACAGTAGAATGTTCTCCATAATTAGCTAGTAATTTTCACCTGAACATGAGACTATCGCCATCCCTAAACTTCACTTACCTCTTGGTTCTGGCATCATGAGTTTCTAAGAACTGCCTCTGTGCCTCATGTTTAGAATGGTGATCCGCAGCCAATGCGACGTCAACAGTTACGAGCCCCAGGCTGGCCGACCCCGCTTCGAGCCAGTGGGCCCTCCGCAGCAGCGCGGGCTGAAGCCCCGCCCTGGGGTTACTCGGCTGTTCGATGCACTGTCTCACTTGAAAGTCTTGAATTGCAGCGCTTATCCCTTCCCCAACCGACTGGTTGTGGAGGTTACAGTTCGCAACCCGAACCGCACCCATCTGCAGTTGAACGAAGAAAATGAAACAAAACTCTAGATTTGGTCTTTTTTAGCAACTTAGAATAAACTACAGAATAGGTAATTATTTCGAACTGCATGAAAAATGTAAGAAAAGAGAAGGGAAAAAAGAGGAAAAAAGAAATAGAAAAGATGAATGCAATAATAAAAATAGACATTGATTTTTAAAAAAGAAGATAAAAAGAAAAGAGGAAGAGGAAAGGAAAATGAAAAGTGTAGTAAATAATGAAATCACAGACTGTGAACGAGGTTTGATTTTAAACAGTAACCCACAAAGAAGAGGTGGCAATCAAATGTTTTCAGGAGCCAGGCAGGAACTATAAATGGATAAAACCTAAAAGCATTCAAAATCAAATCTTTGAAAAACGTTATCAACTTACTTCCCTGCTGTAAAAGCAAGCTACCTGTTTATACCCCTGCCGTAGGGCAATGTTATGATAAGTCCGTCAGAGTAAAAAAAGCAGAAGTATGCCTTAAAAAAATATACTAGAAGAGAACATGGGTGAGTAGAAACTAGAAAGCTGTCTAGTAGAATTCTGCAGTAGTTGGTGTGATGGCAAATTATAAATGTGTGTTGTATTTCAAGAAATGGAGGTTTTGCTCGGTGAAAAGGAAATAGAAGTATACTGGCCAGGAAAGAGAGGAGAGTGCACCTTTACGTTTGTAGCGCAGCCATGCTCCACAATGTAAACATCGGCCCCGTCGACTGCTAGACGGGTCATAGTGTATTTCAAGTCATCTGAGGTTGGACAAGGTCCAGGAATACAACTCAACTAAAATGAAAAAGACAACATTTAATTCTTCACCATCAATTCACTATTTTGATACTTTAGTCTCCTTATTTAAACAAACAAAATTCTGGTTACATGTGTGTGTTTAAAAACCAGACAGTTAAATTTCACTTTTTTAGAACAATAAATTAAATCATCAGCAGTTAGTCTTAAAATTAGAAAACTAATCACAAGTAACCCTTTTTCATTTAAAGGGGGCAAATAGCAAGTCTAAATTGACAGAATTCATATATAACCTGTTGCTGAAACTCAAAAAGAATAGACTGATAAGTAAACAATGTCATAGGTTTATAAGAACTACATAGGAATTTAAAGTTGTAAGATATTTTTATGAGTATTCCACAGACACACACACATCAGCTGTAAATTTTATGGTATCCACGACAATCCACGTGGATTTAATTTAGTTTTTCTCCTAAAACACAGACTTGGTCATGTTTAGGTTTGATAAAAACATACACATCAGCCACTTCCACAAACTTCTTGGGCAGAGGGCCCTGAGTAACGTTAACGGCCCAAAAGCACATAACTGCTCATCAGTGGCAGACTCTGAATGTATTTCCTCCATCAAAACAGACCTTAAAAAAAGGAATTTAAAATGACAAAGCATACCAGTGGTTGCATGACATGGTGGCTAAATGCAAAGGGACACAGGGAAATGTTCTTCACTGATGGGAATGGTTACACCCGTATGTATCTCATTTGTTAAAACTCAAACTCTACGACTTAAAAAGGGTGAATATATTATATGTAAATTATGCCTCAACAGAGTTTAAAAATTTTTTAAGTAACATAAAAGCTTTGAGTCTTAAAACAGAAGGTTACTGTTTAAGACTTTTGACTCTTAAAAAAAAAAAAAAGATGCCTACGAGCCCGTGTGAATTATCCATGTGGACCCGGAGATGTGCTGGCAACAAGAAAAACTAATTTTATTGCCAATTATACCAGTTTCCTTATTGTAGGTAAATAAGCATGAGTTACCGATGTTTGGACATAAAATTAAAAGAATGAATACATTCAATTTTCAGTCATATAATAGCAAATAAAAATTATACAGCAAAAGAAAAAAGGAAAGGCACATAGGAAAGAAACTAGAAAGAAAAACTAAACTATTAACAGTGGTTGTCTCTGCATTGTAGAATTGGGGTAAGTTACTTATCTTTCTTGAAACTGCCATGTTTTCTAGATTTTCTGAAATGAGCATACTTCCCCCCCAAAAAAAAGACGCTCCCCACCCCACACTCATAAGGAACAGTGTTTACTGCACATCACTGCTACCGCACACGGTCTCAGGGACTCCTGTGACTATATAGAGCCTGAGTCGACAGACCGCACCGCTGTGGAAAGAGCTTCAGATCTGGAGTCGGGAAACTTGGCAGATGCCCAGCACTGCCGATCGAGTCCGGGAGAACAGGTGTCCTCCGGAGGGGTCTGCCAACGAAGCCACAGAAAGGCCTGGCACTGCCTCCTGCTGCGACTTTTACGTCGTCTACATAAAGGTATCGCCGTGTCCCCAAGAGTTAGTGTAATAAAGCAACAAGACCTAAGTGTTCACAGTGAAAATGTAAGAGATGAGATATGCTTTTCATAGTATCTCATTTATTTGTATATGAATGTTTCACTAATTACCTTATATGTTAGCTACTTACAACTAAATAGTAACTGGCTATGATTTGCAGAAATAATTTTCATGATTGAAAAAACTAACTATAGTGTTTACTTAGTGACTATGTGCAATTGATTTAAAACTGACGTCTCAATCTTTCATTTTAAAAAATTCATAAATGTTTATAATACGCTAACACATTTCTTAACGTACCTTGGATTCACAGAACCGACGATCAATTCCATGCTGACATATTATTACTGATTTGGGTCTTTCCAGTTCATACTCCCGACATACCACGTGAAAAACAAATGTCTGCCCCCACTCCAAGAGACAAGCCAGCTACAAACAAGCAGTGACAGGGTGACAACACCATTAGCATACTGAACACACATTCGGAGCTCAGAGGCCAATCGAAAATCTTAACACAGCTTGAAATAACCCAAACACCGTCTTATACCTGCTGCTATATAATCTACTTGTCAGCCAATATCATTTTCTACCTTGACATCATTTATAAGCATGTATTACTTTTCATTTATGAATGACAAAATACATGGCCAAAATAAAAACTCAAACTCATTTCAACTTCTAGAGCAAGATACTTTTCTTCAAGGTTTTATCTTTCTTCTTATATGACTATATGGCATATATGACTATATGACTTATATGGCATAGAAAAGCACTTATAATTTATTACCTAATAATCAACCAACCTTTAGTGTAAAATTTTTGAGTATTTAATTATCATTTTGAACTGCAGTTTTAGAAAATCAGGCATTTTGAAGATTAAAGCACTTTTGTTCATGTAAATAGAAGCTTAAATAACCATATAGCAATTTGTCAAATCTTTAGTTTAAAAATTCTGAATTTTGAAATTGATTAGAGTCGTTATTAAACACACCAAGATTTGGGTCTAAAAAGCACACAATTTAAACTACTAGAAAACATGAATTTCACCTTTAAAACATACAAAGAATGGCATGAATGTTACAGCACCCACACAATCATAAACATGATGCCAACATTCTAGTACAGAAGAAAATGTTTCGTCCTCTAGTAAGAAAATGTTTCGTCCTCTAGTAATTTATGGACACGTGAGATTCCAGCAATCCTTAAAGGAACTGCGTCCAGTCTCACAGGGTTGGCAGGAAACACGCTGTTTTGTTACATGCTTCAGTGCATATGAGAGGCGGGAAATGGTGGATAATAAAGAAAGGATAGTTGAGGCCAGTGAGCACTGAGTATTTCTTTTCATTCATTTTTATATGAGATACCCTTCTGCAATTCCATTCATTTTCCTACTATTTCTAGAATCTTAATTTTTGCTGTCTTCCATCAATTTCTTTCAGATATAGAAGGTACTTAGATTCTTTATTCACCTTCTCGTTGCTACTATCTACCTCTAAATTATGTTTCATACCCATTCTGTAACTTTTTATTAAAATTGAGTATGTACATTTCTGCACGTTCCAGTTTTTGCAATGCCAAGATAAACATGCATCTATAAGCTAAACATCATAAATATATGGCTCAACGGGTAAAATTTTAGAGTAAAATGGCTATTCAACTATTCGGTGGTCCATTTCTAGAACTAAATACTCTTTAAGGCCTCCAAGTCTCCTAAAGACCACATGGGATGGTAAAGGGGAGGGGACTCATTCAAGGGACACGACGAGCACTCGAGGCCAGGTTTACTTACTAGTAACTATGTTTTTACTTTTTTAAAGCAGTATCTACATTATTAATAGCAGGTACAAATGACATTATGTTGCTTTGGAGCATAACAAGCAAAGAACTGTGCTACCTAATCCTTAATACTATAAATGCTATTTTCAAATCCTACTTAAGAACTACATAAAAAAGCAAAGTTCTTAGAAAATTATTCTATACACTGGGGAAGATTGTTCCAACAGTGGAGAACCAATATAATTTTAATAATATATGTACTCTCTCTATAATATATATATGTAACATGTATATCTCATTCTGAGTTCTTCCCAAAGAAAGTCTCGGATTCTTTAAAGTACGATATAGACCTATGAAACATACCCGTCGGTTTTATGTCGCTCAGAAAAGTGAAACCTGTCTCTGACTCATCTATTGCTAAGAAAATGCTG